TCGACTTCCTGTTAACGAGTTGTTAGTTAGGACTCATTATACAAAGGATGAGCTATTAGTTTTTTTCAAGTCAATAAACTGAAAAATACCCAAACTTACTGTTATATTTTCAGAATTCTAGATCGATCCTTAAAATGTTATGTTCAAATATTTTAACATTTAATGTTTATTTTATCAAAGGTGACCTTCTTCAGTTAAAATGCTTACTTGGTATGCCAGATGTGGAGTTTCCGTCCACTGTCATGCCATACGTGTGCATTTTTTCGACATCTATTATACTATATAGCCCTTTTTAAAGAACTTCACTTAATAACTTATGCAGTGTTAGACTTTCCAGGTATGAAACTAATAATAATAATAATAATAATAATAATAATAATAATAATAATAAAGTAAAATTCGCAACTTTGACGAGCCATGTGGCAATTTTTGTAATAAAAGTGGTGAGAAGTCGTTCTGTGGATAAAAATGGAAAATTTGAGTACTTAATATCTAAAAAGTAAGGTTGAGTTAAAATTGCAAAAATGTGAAAAGGTTGAATATGCTCTGGTATTAACTTCTTTTATCTCCTAGTATATTATAGTTTAAATGGAAATAAACAGCAGTCTAAAATTGTTCAATTAAGTTTAGATTCAAAAGAGGATTACCAAAAGCATAGTACAGACTCACTTTACCTTAAACCACTGAATCTCACGTTGCATCTGAAGCGCAGCACCGGAAACTGCATTGAGCTTGTGACTAGGCGCCAAACTGGCAGCCAAGTGCAGGAGGCCATTACCAGACGAATCCACCAAATCCGAATACTGGTGTTTATGATCGCTCGTCTGGTAAATCAAATTGAAAACCCTTTCACATCGGTTATGCACAGCCAGGTGAAAGATGAATTGCTTTGTGTCAGCGTGCCGAGAATAAATAGAGGCTGGGAAAGTCGCCACAATTGCTTCAACAACCTCGTGGATCCCTAAACGAGCAGCCGTGAGCACAGCATCTCTGTAGATCACGGAAGCTTCTTTATACTTTAATGACTCCATGTTCTTACACAAGCATTTGAGGAGCTTCAGAGCTTGCTGATGCATCATTTTCTTATCGTGAATCCTCTTTACGTGAGGAACTGCCATGGATACAAAGATGAGTAAAAGTGGACCTAATGAGGAAAAAAGAAAAGACAAATGTGCAAGCACTTCATATTACCCAGTTGTTTGATAACGTCCGAAAGATTGGAATGCAAATTCTGAATCACTCTGTGCCAACTTTTAAACCCTGGATAAGTCGTGGTTTTCATATTTTAATTGAGATGGAAGTTTAGCCAATTTAAATGAGAAAAGAAACGAAGAAAACAAAGAAACAAAAAAGGAAACAAAAAAGAAAAAAGAAAGCTAGTTTAGACGTTCTTAAGCATGCAAAACAAATATGCTGAATCATGAAGTCTTGAAATAATGTAGTTGCAATGGTACACGATTAAACACGCCCATAGGCCATAGTTGTCCGATAATGTCCACAGTTGTATGTTCCTACTACTTTTCCTTCAGGCATCTTTTGGATGGGAGGCTTTCCCACCCACAGTAAATAGTGCATTTTCTTCGAGCACACTGGATCTCACAATCATTAGGTTCCTATTTTTAGCTTTATTTGGAGTCAGGGTGAACTTCAAATCCAACTTGTATGGAGTCATTTTGTAATTATGTGGCATGTGTCTTTCTTATCCCAAACTAAGCTCTCTTGGGAAGAAAGTTGGAAGAAAGAAAAAGGTTAGAAATTACCTCCATCCTTAAGTTTTCAAGAAAAACTTAAGTTTCCGGTACATATCACGTAAACTAGTAGCCATTACTTTAGCCTCTTTCCAAACCCATATTAGCCAGTGAACTCCCTTGCTTATGGCTAATATAGGAGTTAGCCCCCATATATCAGTGAGATTTTGGGGTTAATAAAACATGAGATCAATACAAATATTGTGATTTAGCACATAGTTCATGTAAAACCTCTGTTCATCTGCTCACAAGTCAAAATAATATAGTTCCAATAAGTAACAAGTGAAAGATAAGATCATGAGGGAAAAAAAAAAAA